GTGTGTGTGTGTGTGTGTGTGTGTGGAGGATGGGGAGGCCAAAATCATACCCATTTTTTGACCTCCCGAGGTCTCCGCGCCCCCCGTTTTTGGCCTCCAGAAGGGGCTGGCAGGTAGGTGGGTCGATGTGGGTGGGATAGCCTTGGGGCTCCATGTGAGCAGGATGAATGGCTTTGGTGGGCCGTATCCGGCCCGCGGGCCGTAGGCTGAGGACCCCTGCGCTAACCGGATGAATGCTGTTTTCCCATGATGGCGTGGAAAATATCCTTAAGAGGCTAACATTGACATTCCACGCATACTGTCAGCGGAGCTGGATCTCACAGTAGCTGGTTTGAGATGGGTGTATCTATTGGGTGATGTGATTTATGACACAGAGTGAGGGGAGGGAAGGAACAGGGGCAAAGTTGAGAAGCAGATAAGCAGAGCGTTTAAACAAACTGCATCTCTGTTTGGTTTGGTGGCTGCAGTGCCTCCAATAGAAAGTCCCTACAGAGAGTGATGAGGACAGTAGAGAAGATTATAGAAAGCTTTGTTTAATAAAACAATGGAGATCATCATAGATTTTAGAAAGAGCCGGCATGGTCATACGCCACTCAGTAGCAAGGATGTAGCCGTAGAGGTGGTCCACCATATTAAGCATCGGGGGGGGAGGGGGGAAATAACTAACAATCTGGTCTCCCCATACGTCATCCTTAGTGAAGCGTGCGGACCAGCATCTGCCCTTTCCTACGTCGGATGAGGAGAGCACCCCTTTCTCCTTCTGTCCTGGCCATTTTTTTTACAGAGGGACAGTGGAGAGCGTTTTAACAAACTGCATCCCTGTTGAGATAGAAAGTCCCTACAGAGAGTGGTGAGGACAGCGGAGAAGATTATAGGAAGCTGGCTTCCCGCAATTCAGGATCCTGCTTAGAAGCGCTCTGCTTAGCGCCCAAAGCATTGTTAGAGACCCCGCACCACACCCACTTCACAGTCTGTTTCTGTTGCTCCCCTCTGTGAGGAAGTCTCGAAGTATCTCTAGCAGGGATTTCCGGTTCCCTGTGCCTGCCGTCGTAAAGGAGAAGCTGAAAAATGGTTCCAAGTCACTTTTTTTCAGCACCGTTGTACCTTTGAACTGTCACTAAATGAACTGTGGTAAACTGAGGACTACCTGTGTGCTCTATCATTTCAACAGACTCCGCTTTTTTTTTTTTTTTACCAGATCTCGTCCGCTGCTGGCAGGATCACCGTGCCCCGGTTGAGCGTTGGCGCCGTCACCAGCAGGCCTAGCACACCAACCCTAGNAGGACCGGCCCATAGATTTCCACTGCTCTCCTCTCCCACATCAATTCATCTCTGTCCCTTGCCTTTTATCCCCAGAGTTAGGGTGAGGCTTCGCTAGCAGTGGTGGCTCTTCCGTCCCGAGGACCAGCCCATAGATTTCCACTGCTCTCCTCTCCTTTGCCACATCTATACATCTCTGCCCCCTGCCTTTTATCCCCAGAGTTAGGGTGGGGTTTCGCTAGCAGCAGTGGCTCTTTCGTCCCGAGGACCGGCCCATAGATTTCCACTGCTCTCCTCTCCCACATCTATTCATCTCTGCCCCCTGCCTTTTATCCCCAGAGCTAGGGTGAGGCTTCGCTAGCAGTGGTGGCTCTTCCGTCCCAAGGACTGGCCCATAGATTTCCACTGCTCTCCTCTCCTCTGCCTTCTGCGTGTCAGGCACTGGATCCAGCTTTTCCTCCTCTTCCTCATCAACCACCTCCAGACCTGGGGGCTGTTGATTCTCCATCTGAGGGCTGACGGACAGCCAGACTCCGCCTCTCTCTTGCTCCCTCTCTCTGTCTCTGCCAGCTCCATTCCCTCCTCTTCCTCCTCGGAACTCTCCAGTTGCCTGAGTCCCACGCTGCCTCCTCCCTCTTTCGATTCAGCTCCTGGAGGGACCGGTGGCCAACAAGGCAACAACATGGCTATTTGGGGGAAGGAGGGATCTGCAAGCAGAGCTCCCGAGAAGGCCTCAGGAGGGTCTTCACCTCCATGAACCCGCCACGCTTACAAGCAGTCCTCAACTTACGACTGTACTGGAGCCCTTCCCAATACAGTCGTAAGTCGGGATCGCCAACCTGATTCCGACACTTTTTTTCGCCTTTAAAAAAGCAAAAATGCTTTAAAAGGTTAAAAAAAAAAGTTGGCCACGCCCACCCAGTTACACGCCCCTCCCATCAAGCCACGCCCCCCACAGAACCAGTGGTAAAAAAAATTTTAGATTTCCCCACTGAGATAAGCTAGCTTGTGTTGGATCCCAGAACCTGGGCTGTCATTCAACAGGGAAGGAAACGTGATGGAAGATTTGGCTGGTTTGGCTGAAACCGTCTCTTGTGCCCCGCAGTTTTTGCTGGACATCGCAAGGCAGAAAAACCAAACCCCGTTGCCTTTGATTAAACCCTACTCCGGGCCAAGGTTGCCTCCAGACCGGTACTGCCTGACAGCGCCAAATTACCGGCTGAAATCCCTGCAGAAAAAGGTAAGGACGTTTCCTTAAAAAAAAAAAAAAAACTGTTGCGTGGCTGGTAGAAATCCAGCTAATCCAGGGGTTCTGGAACTTTTTAAAACTGTTTTAGACTGTTGGGGGGGGGGC